TACATGGAGAGGAAAACCACTAAAACCTCCCACGGTTAGTCTGACGGTAAGGGGAGTCAAACCCAGGATCCATCTATCACTGACGATATTTTGCGTCTGCACTGCGGTCGGTGCAAGCTGGATGCGGAAAAATCGAAAAGCCATCTTTGGGATTCGAACCCCGGTTCACCCTATTGGAAGGAGAACGCTCTATAGCCTGAGCCGTGATGGGGATAGAGCGTTCACGATATTGGATTTTTGAATCATGTAAACACGAATCTCGAAGCATGATTTTCAGACCCCGTCAATACCAATGGCTACATTGGATTTGAAACTCGCGTGAAATCAGATCACGATATTAATTTCAAAAATGCGTAATTACAAATTGCGATATTGGATTTTTAAATCATGTGAAAACGATTCACAATGAGTAACTTTTAAATTAGGTAAATAAAGAAAATCGATGCTTGGTATTAAATCGTGAATATGAATTGCGATACTAGCGGATTCCGGCATAGTTTCAAATATTAAAAACGATAAAAAAATACAACAAATCAATAAATAAAAAAATCAAAATTGCGGAGGAGTCACGTGTATGAAAGCGTCTCATTAACGGTATTTAGCCAAGGTTTCAAAATTCAAATTTTAGAATTTAATTCTTACTTTAAATTTTAGACTGCGGTGAAAATTTCGTTGGATTTTAAGTTTTGATTCGGGGAAGTCCAAGAATCAATGGTCTTGAAATACGCAGCATTCCGTGAAAAATCACACGCCCCCTGCTCCTATAGTTTCGAGACTTGGGGGAATAATACGAAAAGCCCCTGGAAGCTTCCAGCTATTGCATATTTTACAAACATATAAGATAGAAGAATCTTTTTGAGTTAATAAAATAAAAAGAAAATTTTTTTATCATTTTTAAATAAAAAAATAAATAAGACAAAAAAAATCTTTCAATCACCTTTTTTTTTCCTAATAAAAATAAATGAGACCCAGATTGTTGACATTGATTACACATTGTCGAGACTAAATTTTTAAGAGATTCTCCCTCCATTAAACGGATACCGTATATAAATATAGGAGAAACCGCTAAAAGATTTTAAGATAAAAAACCTATTTTAAATAAAAGCATTTTTTATTTTTAAATGGAATAAAATTAATGAGGCATGGTTTATCTCTATCTTCCAACTGGTTGAAACAAATTGAAAGTATATCGTAAAACAAACTGAAGATAAAAATCGCTCCTCTTTTACGCTTTAAGCTTCTCAGGCACTTCTTGTTGATTATCAAGATTTCAAAGGGAAATGTTACACATGAAGCTGATGAAAAAGAGCCGTCACCATGTTCTAAAACAGCTTAGATGAGTGATTTTAAAGATAAGCAATAATAATCTTTTTTAGTTGAGACGAGAATGATTTTTCACACGCAATTTTGTGTCAGAAAATATATGCATGCAACGGAGCAAGAAAGATCGACACGCAAACACTTTGTCGACAATTTTATTTTAAAAAAAATAGCTACACCAGTGTTCTCCCTAAGCATTTTTAGAAGGGCGGCCCACCCTACTTGCCCTTTGATCCCGATAAATAAACTCTTGGTCCTTTTTGTAAAAATAAGACACCATACCTTAAAAATACTGCCTTTTTCATCATGTTCCATTTTAAAAAAGACTGATTCACTGTTTAAATAATAATTACACCCAGGTAAAATTATCTGTGTTTATATGTTTAATTTTGATTACTATTGTTTACAAGTATCTCTTTTTTCGGAGGAGGATATTAATAAATTTTCAAGTAATTTAAAATTAAAAAAAAAAATTTTTAAATAAAAACATTTTTTAAAAATTCACCTATGCTAATTTTTAGTTTAAATTATAGAAAGAAGCTTTCAAGTTTTTTTTATCAAATTAATCTATTTCTTTTTTTTTTGTTTACTTTTTCTGCAAAAAAAAAAAATTCTGCACAAATATTGTCTTTTAGCATGCCTTTAATTATTTTTCTCTTATTTTGATAATGAGAGAGAATTAGTTTTAAACATACATATAAAGTAGTATTTTAGAGGGCAATTTAAAAATGTTTGAGTATAAAATTCAGTTATTACGTCATATTACACATTTTGATAAATTTTTACGGATTTGAGTAAGCGCCCTTTTCAGAGAGAAAACGCCCCATAACTTTTCATTACTAGGGAGAATTGTGAGCTACATCAAATACTATTCATATACTACTAGATTACAAACCGCATTTACGATTACGGAGGAATGATTTCTGTTTAAGGGTGACTCTAAGGAACTGAAAATTTCAATTTTTAGTTAACATAGCCAGTGGTCTGTAGACTAATTACTTAGTAGCCACTTTTTCCTCAAACCTAAAGAGTCAGTGACCGGTAGATATTTTTAAAATTCTGTATAAAAATAGTTTCTTCAATAAATGTGAAAAATTTTTAACTTTTTTTTAATAAGCCTTTAAACATTTATATTGGTCTTTTTTAGTTTCTTCCAGTGTCCTGAAAGACAGCCATAGTTAAAATATTTCATTCCTTTTTTTTTTATTTAAATATATTTAATAATATATATCATTAATAATGTGATTATTATTAATAATACAATAATGTATCATTAATAGTGAATTTTATTCATAATGTATTTCAGTTAAATTTTGATAAAATCTGGAAATTTTTTTAAATTAATTGGAAATTTAAAATTCTTGTCTTCTTTGACATTTTTGCAATGTGCAGTTTTTTTTAAATACTGAGCACAGAATAATCAATTTGTGAAAGTGCAAAACTAAAATATGATTGTTTAAATTAGTATTCAAGAAGTTCACCTCAATTCTATGAAAATAAATCCCTTATCCCGAGAGAATTTTTATAAAATTTTGGATTTGTTAATCTAATTCACTATTTCTGAATAGAGTAATAGCAGTGACTGAAAATGATCCATTCAGCTATTCACATTGTAAAAAATTGTTACAATTCAAGAAAATTACAAGAAGTTTTAATATTTTTAGCTATATTTAAATTGCCAAAATCATAAGAGGGAGAGATTTTTGAAGAAAACGCCAGTTTAAATCTTAAGACCAATTTTTAAGAAAAATTTTCCCATGAACCAAAAATAAGGTTTTTATATGGAAAGTGACAAAATTAATATCATAAATGACAATACCTGAGATAACAAACTAATATTTTGAAAGAATATAGAAGTTTTATTTATCAACAATACATTTTAAATTAATCTAAATACAGAATTAAATTTAAGTTAAAATGGGCTGACTGGACAAGAAGGATTGACTTCAAATTTTTCAAGTTATTCTTAAAGAAAAAGAAAGGAATAATAGCTGATCAAAAACAGTGTAAAAATGTTAATAAATTAAAAAAGCATTGAATAAACTTCAAAATCTCGAAGTGAAATATGTGTTTAGATTGAGTTACAATAAACAAAAAAGTCAAATGAAAGAATTTTTTTTTATAAGGAGATACATTTTAACTGCAGATTCTTTAAACATTATTAAAATTTGAATTACTTGATTTAGCTTATAAAAAAGGCATACAAGGTTAAAAATGAATAACTGGATTGAAAATATTTACATTTTTTAAACTACTATAACACATTACTATAAATGATAGACAAAATTAAAGAAAAATATAGAAAAGTTTTTATATTCACAGTGTTCTTTCGTTTTACTATAAATATCTAATCTATAATAAAGGTCTTTTCCCATATTTTATAATTTCCTGCTGCCCATGGTTTCCTGGGCCGGATTAAGCGCGCGAGGGGCCCTAGACCATTCAAATTTTTGGGGCCCTTAGATAAAAAAAAAATTTTTCTCATATAATTTTTCTTTATTCAAATATCAAATTATTTATAAATTTTTTCATCTAAGAAAACATATTTAAAATAAAAATAAATAATAACAAATTATATTTTACTTTATTTTGTTAAATTAAAACTAAAAAATAATTTGAAATAATTTAAAAAATAAATTTTTTTGTAAATATGTAAAACATAATGTTTTAATTATGTAAAAAAAATATAATAGTATTTTATTAATACCTACATATTTGAAACAGACCTTTTTTTTAAAAAAAAAAAAAAACTGTTTTCCTAAATTTTTTTTCAAAAAAAATTTTTTTTAAGGGGCCCCTAATTATTGGGAGCTCCAGGCCATGGTCTAGTCTGGTCTAATGGGTAATCCAGCCCTGATGGTTTCTAATGCTGCACAAAGGTGTTTTTTAAGGTCTTGCCATGTTTTAAACATTGTTAAGTCCATAAATTTGTCTTGGGCATGAGAGTGAAAGTAATCCATCAATGCCATGTGTCTCTGGGAGTTGCATAATGTAAAAGATACTGTTATAAACCACTGTCTATAACAAAAGGGACACATGTTAAACATTTGTTACAGAAAAAAAAATCTTGATATGCTTTTCCTTAATTTTGTGTGTTATTAATTATAATACGTGAGACATTTCTGTAAGTGTTGCTGTTTTTTTCCAAATAAAATCGCCAAGAGGCCAAAAGAATTTTAAAGTAAGAAATTTTCTAAATAAAATATATATTTCTAATACCCAGTTATTCGTTTTTACTATCATTTAAATTAATAAACAGGATTAGAGGGGGAAAACTCACTATTTGCAGAAAAATAACAGTTTAAAAAACTAAAGAAATAAAAATGGAATATTATATTTTAATTTTATTGAACATTAGCAACAATTAAAAGTTACCACTATGTCAGCAAGATTAGGTGCCTAATACAGAGAGCTACGCTCTTGCTTTAAAACAAAAACATGACACATCTATAGCAACTAAGAAGAAAGATTAAATTACTTAAATTTAGAAAATTTACATGAACAAATTTAAAGCACCGGCGTTACATTTATTCGATTATCAGGGATTTGCTTAAAAAATATTTTTATAAAAAGAATATGCATGAAAAAAACATATTAGTACATATAATATAAAAATTCGGGAAATAGTTTAATGGAAATAATTATATTCATACAAAAAGCAAGGATATGTCTTAACTTACAAGATTTATAAGTATCACCTGCTCTTCAAACACCAGCAACGGACAAACGATAACAGATTTACCCATGAGATTTGCTAAAAAACATAAATAACAAAAGTTTCTGCTTCCATGGTCACAGTTAAATAAGATGATCATGTCTAAATTATTTCATAAATTAATCAAATTTCAAAAAAAAGGAAAAAAGTTCTATACAATTAATAAGTATTTTATACTTTTGCATAAAATAAAATACTAAAATTTTTTATTTATTTCAATATTACCACTGTTAAAAATATACTTTTTTTTCTGGCAATGACTCCGCTGTTTGCTTCTTGTTTCGCTTATCAACCACAAAGAATGGCGGACGAGAAAGATTCATCTTGTACACCGGTTTACTATGTGGGTGAAACGGAGGTATATCTATAAAATTTTTATTATGTGAATTGGTATATCATTGTGCTAGTAGATCCTCATTGCAAGCATTCCATTGAGATTCTCTGATCTATTTTGTGCACGTTATTCTTATTATGGGTGTCAAATCTAATCTCTCTATTTGTATTTCAGATATTTAATCAATCAAATTTAATAAAAATTAGTGCAATAAAAGGGAAATAACTTAAAATGTGCACGTTATTAGTGTACCCTCTCCAATTTACTTTCATTTTGATACATTCCATACTACATTGTTAACTAGTGTAAACAAATCCACTTTATATTACGAGTATAAATAATTAGAAATTTAAAGTTGTTCTAATTTGTTATAGGATTAGATTGTTTTTTGCTTATTTTTTTTTATCTAAGTATGATTTTTCTCTTAGATCCCATATTGTAATTGCAATTGTGCCTAATACCTAACAATCGTTGACGTTAAAATTTTCATTTTTCACACTCATGTGTAAGTTATGACAGACTTCCGCCCTGCAGTTACTTTATTTAATACTAAACTTTTCCTGCTTCTCATAAAAAGAAATGAAGAAGAATACACCTTTAAAAAATTATTTACTGAAATGTATAGATTTCATTTTTAAACATCTCATTTTCTAAATACTATGGAGAGATTTCTGTAGTATCATGATCTGTGGCAGAATAATCGCCAAGTCTTAGCAACTTCCAGGCATCGGCCGACTAGAAACTAAAAAAAGCATCACTGAAAGGGACCAACTCGAAGGATGTAACTCGTTGTCACCCCCAAGGCTATGATATTAAAATCTATTTGACACCTTGGCAATTGTAGTTGGTGTGACAGACCACGATACAAAAATGTCCCCATATATCAGTGTTCCCAAACCTTTTTGTCATCGCAGACCTGTTAACGTTGGATAATTTTATCGCGGCCCTCTGGGGGGGGGGGGGATNGCCCAGTGGGGGGGGGGGGCGTTGATTGTTTATATGTTAGATTATTTTGATTTATTTATTTTAATTTAATAGTATTTAAACATGATTTCAAAATAAAATATAGTTACACCAAAAAATAAATATTAAGTGATTTACCTTTTAACTTTGAAGAAAGTTAAATCAATGAGAACCCTGAGCTTGTTTCTTTGCAATGAGACGGTTCCATCTGGGGATAATGGAGACAATGATACATTTCAAACATTAAAAAATTATGTCACTACCTTCGGCGGCCCTTTTTTTTAAATAAATAAAATTTTAATGGAACACAGATATTTTTAATTTGGAGTATAAACCTAGGAGTTTAAATTCAGTTTCATTGAAATGTGCGGCACGATATCATTTGATCAACGGACAGGGGGTTGTGGAACGCTGCCCTATATTATTCCACTAGTCCCCACTTTTCCCTCTGATATGCATTATAGTGTGTTAACGGAATCATATTTTTTAGTTGCTTGCATTTTTTGCGACTAATTTTTTGAAAAAATTATCTTATTTTATTTCAGAGGACAAGACATCATAGTGAACCTATGTTAGACACCACAACATGTCCTCCACCCGCTCCTGCCGAAGATCACAGTACCTTTGATATTGTTAAAGCAACTCAGTTTGGTGTGTTTGAAAGATGTAGGGAAATTGTTGAGTCAGGGTATGATGTGAACAGACCCGATTCAGAAAATGTTACATTGTTGCATTGGGCAGCTATCAATAACAGGCAAGAAATTGTAAAGTATTACCTTTCTAAAGGTGCCCATGTGGACACTATAGGAGGAGAGCTGCATTCCACACCCTTGCACTGGGCAACCAGGTAGTAATAGTTATCTGATTTTTCTTTCTTTCCTTACTATTTCTACACAAAACTTTTTTTATTTAATTTGAGTTAGTATTTTTAAAAATACGGTATACTCTCGATATCTTGAACTTATATCAGGAAAACCTCGTTATTTCAAAAATATATTTTTCTCCTTGGCATTATATATCCACCTAATGCTAAGTTGAATTCTTATGTCGAATTTTTTTCAAAATAGAAACTGAATTCTTTCGCAAAAATCACAATGCAAGTTCATTGTAAACCGGTTCCTTTTTATTTATTGCATACTTATTTTTATCTAACTTTAATTAGCTTAGAATTAGTTAATTAGAATGTTTTATCTAACTTTAATTAGCTTAACTTATTAACTTAGAATTATCATTGTTGTATTTAGACTTATAATTAATGATCATTACACACATATTTATTAGTAGTATGTTTCATGACTCTACTTTTTAGAACATATTTAGTTCTGAACTTGTTATCTTGAAAATTTACTATTTCAAAATTATTTTAGTGTCCCTTTAAATTTGAGATTTTGAGAGTATTCTGTATTATTTAACTTTCTAGATATTAGCTAATTGTAGAATTTTACATTAAGGAACACTGCTAAATTTTAAAAACAATGTTTCTACTGATTCATTTATAGATAATGATTTTGCTCATTTTAACCATCTGTAATTTTCTTGCATTAAAAAATTTTGAGCTTAAATTTTGGTAAAAAGGAAGATTAAAAATATATTTAAAACTACAGTAAGACCCAGCTTAACGCGTAGGATGCGTTCCATGAAAGTAGAGCATAATGCGAAACAGCGCTAAATGAGGCTAATGGAGTTAGGAGAAGATGGATAGAAAATTGGTTAGGTATTAAATTTAATAATTATGTTTTTTTTTAATAAAAATGAAACCAAGCATTTATTTCTTACAAAAATAAGAACAATATTTACGAATATGCATATTTATAAAAACAAATAAAATTCTAAGTCAGTCAGATCATTCAGTCTATTTTGTGTTTCCAATTTTCTGCCTTTTTCTCAAGAAGGCATCTAATGTAGTTTGTGTTTTTCTTTTGCGTTCTGTTAGAAGTTGTTGATAAGTGGATAAAGCATCTATAACACTCCGTCTTGCTTTTGAACTCCTGTCAAAATTTGGATCATTTTCAACAAATTGGTCAGTTATAGTGGTCAAACTCCTTTTTACAAACACCATCAAAAGTTGTATTTGCTCTTCTTCGAAATCACTACTATCAATATTTTTGTTTTCTTCTTGCTCAGTTAATTCCTTGAGCTCATCATTAGAAAGACTAGCTGCTGTTTCTTGACCTATTTCTTCGCAACTTCCACATTTACCTCATCTAAATCGGTTTGTTTTGCTAATTCCACTATTTCATCCATATCGACAGAGTGTCCAATGTCTTCGCTCTTACTTAAATCTGGCCAAATGTTCTTCCATACTCCTTTCAAAGATCTTTCTGTTATCTCATTCCAAGAAAGGTTTATGTTTTCTACAGCATTCATGATATTGTAGTTTTTCCAAAATTCTCTTATTGATTGCTTCTCTTCTCCGTCTATTTTGTCAAACATCTGCTTTAATGTTCATATATATTACATATTTGGACTTTAATGTTTATATATATATTACATATATATAGCGGGAATCCCTGGATTAAAATAAAAGAGCGCTAAACCGAAACAGAGCTAAACGGAACAGCGTTAAGCGGGGTCTTACTGTATTATATTTTATATCTTTCAGCATAAATTATATGAAAATAGCTTATTAAAAATATTTTAAGTATTTATATGAAAATAAATTAATTGAATGAAATGTTTACTCTTTCCAAAAGTTTTGAACTTGGCAACATGCAAAAAGTTAAATTATTTGTAAATGATTATTCTATGAAATATTATTTAATTATTTTTTTTAAATATTTTCTGGAAACAAATTATTGTCTTTATTAAATTTCATCATAAATTTTTTAAAAACATTATGAAATTTTGTATTGGGAAGTGTGGAGTTATTTTTTTGTAGTAACTCCTCATTAAAAAAATGCTAACTTCTAGTAGTTATGTTTTCCGAACAAAGGTTGAACTCGGGTCTAATATTTTATTTATCTGATATTTTTAGTTTTAGACATGATATCATCAGGTCAAGAACCATAAATTAAACTGACACAATAACATGGCTCTTGAAATTTAAAACAATTTTATTCTAAGCTTTATTTTAGAAAAAAAAGAAGAAAAAAAAAGAAATCTGAAATAATAACCTTATATTTATGTTATATGATTATATGAGCTTTATATGATTATCCACCTGTTGAAAATGAATTGAACTTAATTTTTGTTTATTGTAAAAAAGCTCATAAAACTTATTTGATATTTTTCAATAAACACTTTAAAATTAACAATGAAATCCTTATTGTGATTTCGTACCTTTGCATGATTATCAACCCATTGAAAATTAATTGAACTTAATTTTTATTTATTGTAAAAAAAACTCGTAAAGCATATTTGATATTTTTCAATAAGAACCTCTGCTATGTAGAATTAATAATGAAATCCTTATTATGAGTTCGTGATTAAGATCACAATCTTTCGGTTGAATATTAAAAATTACGGTTTATAAGAATTGTCATAATAATGTGTTAAAAAAAAGTTTTTTTTGCCCCCCCCCCTTAACTACCAAGAGTTCTAAAATAGCTATGTTCACAGCCAGTGTTAGAGAAAAAGATAACACTTAATTATTTTTATTTTGTTGTGAATTCATGCATAATATATAATATTATTAATAGTAGGTATGCACCTGTATAGTATTCAATTGTAAAAACAACTTTAAATTGTGCTGATTTCAATTTTGTTAACATTATATTTATTATTGTACTAGCTTGGATATTTGACACCACTGCATGCTAATGAATTTCCGTGTGTGTAACAATATATTGTACTTATATAGAATGAAATCTTTCAGGCAAGGACATTTAGCAATGGTTGTCCTGTTAATGCATCATGGAGCTGATCCATCCATTACGGATGGAGAAGGTAATAAAAATTCTATTCTATCTGTCTATTGCTTTATATTTTATTTTATAACCGACCCAATGCTTTGGGTTTACGACTATTATTGTTCAACTCAGTAGCTTTGTAATTTTGAACCCAATTCAGAAAGCGAGAGAACTCTTGAATCAAGTATTGGGAGAAAATTACCTTCGTGGAAAACATTTTGATGGAACTGACCCGCATTTGCTACGTAGACAGGAAAACCTCCCTCGGTTAGCCTGATGGCAAGGTAATTCTAATTCCATGATCCATCTACCACTGAGGATATTTTACGTCAGCACTGTAGTCGGTGCAAGCCGGATGCAAAATTCGTTTCTTATTCTCTGTGACTCTAAACCCAGTTCATCTCATTGTAAGGTGAATACTCTAACCCCTGAGCCATCATGGCTCTATTGTTATGCTTAAGATACATTCTGAAAACCAGGATCAGAGGAACACATTCCAAATTTCCTAAACATTTAAATTGAATGGTAATGAATAATGGTCAGAATATTTTATTTTATTATAATTTTTCTTTTTAAATAACTCTGAGAGAGAAAACTATAGCGCTACTTCAGAAGGAAAATTTTATAATAAAAATCCTTTAATATGTAATCCGTTATTTTCAGAAACTAAAGGTCTATTCTTTGTTCATCAAGTTTAATTCGTCAGCTTGAATTGTACCAATTAGTTCCTGAGTTTCCTTAGTTAAATTTCCATTGCTGTTTTAATTTTGTAAAATAGTTATACAAAAAAAAGAAGAAAAAAACAGTCTGCACATTGCTCTAAGTTTGAGTCAACTTATACTTGGCAGAATTTTTATATTATTTGCTTTTTACGTCTACTGGTTATAAAATTTATAATTTTACTTGCATTTCTGCTTTATTAATATACAAAGTGTCTTGTATTGAAGAATTTTTGAAAAAAATTATTTTAGCCAATTCTTAATTATTGCACAATTCTCAATTAATAATTAACACAATATTGCTATGTCATACACAAGTTTAAAATTGCTTGTTGTGTGTACAATGATAAGTGATTTAATCTGTGAGATGTATCCTGTAATGGTTAATGTTACATCATAAATGTTGTTTGACAGTTTGTATTTATGGCAGTCAAGTTACATATTTAGAAATTTTATGTTTTAGTATCAGTTTCACTTTTAATTCATAATTTTATCCCTTGAATAAGTTATGTTTACAATTTATCTAGTTAATTCTTACTTCTGTTTTTTAATGTTATTCACCATTTATGCCTGCTTAGTTTAAAGTTTCATGCATATTTAGGTTTCAGTCCATCTTTTTTATGTTTTTAGGGTAACAAGTGGTGTTGACAGTTTTTGTGTTTTTACTTATATTTAATTGTAACTAACTATTTTAATGGAAAAAAATCTTTTTTTTCCATATAGTAGTTACATGTTGGTTTTAATATTTTTTAAAAGCTAATAATGAACGATTTTTTTTTCTTCCTAAAGGTTGCCAGTGTATTCATCTGGCTGCTCAATTTGGACACACTGCTATAGTTGCTTATTTAGTTGCAAAAGGACAAAATGTCAATGCTACTGACAGAAATGGAATGACCCCTCTCATGTGGTCATGTTATCGAATATCAACGTAAGTACTTATTCTGTTGTTGTTTAGTACTAATATAAGATTTGTATAAAGATGTATTCCATCTCTGAATTTCCATTTCATTTTGATTAAATATATATTCATTCAGAGTTTTTATAAAGATGCCACGATATCCATGTAGGGATTAAGATTTTTTTTAAAGCACGTTTTCGACCTCAAAATACCTATATGGAAACAATACAATACTATGTGGAACAGTAAAATGAAAAAGTGTTACTTCTAAAGAAAATGTCCCCTGTCACTGTACTTCTAATTATGAACATTCCTTAATATTCAAAAATTTTTTAGTGAATTATATTTAAACCTCTTTACCTTAAGACTTTTGAATTACTCTTAAAACTTTTGTGCATGTGAACCATTTTTTACATTGAATATTTTTATACAGCCTTATGCATGTAGCTTGTTGACCTTGCAGATCCTTATTTGTGACCTTAAATATCTTGCTTGTAATATAGGTTTCAAATTTGCATATATATTTCAAGCATATTTATATATTTTCAATCTTTATTTTAAACCTAGTTATATATTTTTAACCTATACCATATTTCTTAATGTTTCTGTTATCTAGAGTTTTTTAATAAAAATGTATCATTTTTATTTATTTTCTTCTTTGCCAATCCAATTAAATCATGATGAACGTGTTCTGAATTCAATATATACCCCATCAATCATAGAATTTTCTAGAAAAATCATTATTAAAATAATTTAAATGGTAAAAAAATAAACTGCTGAAGAATTGTTTGTTGTGAAGGAAAAGTTGCAGCAACTAAGATACAAGAACTATTCCTTTTTTTTAATGGATTTTACTCATTTATTATTTTTTTTCTTTTATAATTATGTTGAAGTTTTGAAAATTCTAGACGAAAGGGCAAATATCTAAAATACTTATGTATGAAACAGAGTGCATAGCATTTTTAAAAAGCTCTTAAGGGTGATTTTTTCCATGGAGCACCCATAAATAGTGTTTTAAATAATGCTTAATTTTCCTCTTTCCGAAATGTGATATTTTTCTTTACCATGTTGATTTTCGCCACAAATTATGCAAAAAGACTTTGTCCTATTCAACTTTTTCACAATTTATTCAACCCTCATCTTTTTCGGCGTCCCATTGGTCTGTAGTGTATGAAAATACCATTGGTTGTACATGTTTGATGAAATACTTGCGGGTCCGCACTTGTTTATACTGAGCTGGATTCAGTGGTAAGGATTTTTGTCTCTTATGTGTAACTCTGCTGTATTTTTCAAGAGATTCTCAATTTCAGACTTCATTTTCTGTCCTCTGTAATAGAAGTGAAATATCTCTTGAATTTTTGCTGATTTTGGAGACAAACTAGACACTGTAAAACTAAAATTAGAGAGATGACATTCTTGCAACGAAGCTCTTCAAAAACATTTTCCTTTCACTATGAAGAAACTATTTAATGTGAAATATTCTGTGCAAAACAACTGACTTGATGTATGTAATGTCATATTAAGTAATTCTAATTAACACTGTTGTATGTTCATGACTTTATATTCAACTAGTAATATAAGATAAACCTGTTATTTATTAATTATTATAAGGCTAAATTATATTTAATTATTTTAAAATTGAAATTTAAAAATTATAATGTGTCCAGTAAAAAATTTGAAAGATTCTTGTAACTGAGCTGCTAAAACATTTTTTTTTATTATGTAAAAACTGTTTAATGTAGTTCTATACAATCAAGCAGATTTGATGTCTGTAATGTTATTTTATGGGACACTGGTTTACACTGTTAAACTTTACACTGTCGTAAGCTCAATGCATAAGAATATAAGCTAAGGCTTTTATTTATTTTTACATATTATAAAGCCAAGTTATATGTCATTGTTTTAAAATTGAAATTTAAAAGTTAAAAAAGAATCTCAAAGTGAAAAAATGCCCAGAAACATTCTTTTTTGATCTGTTGTGCTTTTTAAAATCCCCCAAAAATATATTATTTAAATGTTGTTGTAAATATTTTGAAAAAATCCCTTTCTCTGTTTAAAGGAATGATCCTACAAGATTACTGATGACTCTTGGTGCTAGTCTGACTATGATTGATCTTCATCACAAAAATACACCCCTACACTGGGCAGTGTTTGCAAGGAATACAAATGCAGCAAATCTACTACTTAAAGCAGGGGCCAGTGTGGATGAAGCAAATAATGAAGTAAGGATTTTATGGTGCATTTTTTTCAGTCTTGTACAACAAAATGTGGTATTTTTTCATTATAATGTGCATTATTGGGATCTCGGCTGCTTTTTTTTAGAAACTGTTACAGTATGAAATGTATTTGTTACAAATAATTTTATCATTGTCTTTCTCTTAATAAGTTTTCTGAATTTACTGATGGTAAGAAGATAAACTTTAATTTTCTTGGTTTAAATATATCATAAAAACGAAATCTGCAATCTCTCATGGGGATAAACTGTCGAAAAATTTAGTCACTGATCCAAGGGACCTGTAACTAAAAGATTTCACTAGTCTGTTACATAATTTCACTTGTCTGTTCACATGAGTCGGTTAGATTAAGTGGAAGATCCGTGGGTGATTATGGCTACAGGTAAAATTTTGCCTGGGGCAATTAGGAAAAGCTCATCTAGTAATTAACTTATTATTGATTGCATTAAGATTCAAGTATGCAAATCAATGATTAGCAATGAAAAAAAAGTTTAAAAATACAAAATTACTAGTAACAGTTATAATTATAATTACATTAGAAAGTAAAATTATTGTCAATTCACCTAAAATACTTTCGAAAGATTCTATTTTTTTCTATGAATCAGTAATTAATAAGTAAACATATGAAATTATTTTTAATAATATTTTATTGAAAAGTTCTTTTTTTTTATATAAAAATAGTTTTTATTTTGAATTTTGAAGGCACATTAAATTGTTTAACTAAAAATTTACTTTTTTGTTAGAAAAACCACTCATTTGTACCAAAATCATTTATACCACTTGTATATTGCCTTAACTAAGACCACATTTAGTAAGCAAACACATATTATTTTTAAACAAAAAACTTATTTGTGTAATTGAAATGCAATTTTGTGCATGGGGATAGTAATGACAATTTATAAAGTTAGAAAAAGTTTTTTCACTATTTTTTTTCTTTCAAGTTTTTTTTCTTCCAACTACACTATTAATGCTAAATTGACAATTAAAGAACGAAATATATGCTTTTTGTTTTACATTTTTAATTATAGTTAGTTTCACCTAAATTGGCTATGGTATAGAAAAAGGTAGAAATTGCCTTTTGTGCCATTATTTAAATGGCATATACTTTCATTTTTTATAATTTTTTGTTTGTCTTGTGGGCAATAAAACTTTTCATCCAAACAACCCATAATTTATAATCATAAAGCACCATATTTTTTTACATTATCTACAGCAGCTTAAGATATCCGAAAAGAAATTTAATCTGTTATATAAATAATTTATTATCGTAAAAAATAAATGTAATATTTCTGAATCTATCATCAAAATGTTACTCTTCATATAATTTTATATAAGCTTCATGTTACTGGTGTCATTTATATATAGGTCCAGGGAAAAAGTCTTTACCACGAATTAGTTGAAGGGATAATCTCCAAAATGGTAATTAATGCATACTTGAACTTAAAAAAAAGATTAAAAGACAGGGTGTGACTTTTAAACTGTGAGAAAAAGAGTTTTGTTTTGAATAATAAATTAAGAAAAAGATTTACTGAAAAGGAATAACATTAAAAAGATTAGTTGAAGCTTTTTATGCGACATATATGGGTGGGTTGTTTATGGGACTCTGTGAAAGTATTTTGAAAATCAACTTGTTATATTTTATGTTCCAACTGTTGAACCTCTTAGCAAAATCGTACTGCAATCTCTATGCATAACTCATCTACTGAATTACAAAGGCAAAATTCAGTTTTTGACGTAGGAAAGCTACAGGTTTAAAATGCCAGACGAAATGGGGGTTAATGCCTTAACAGTTATGGTGAAAAAAAATTGAACCTTTTTATTGTCTTTCTTTTACTCTTAACATATCGGTGTCACCATATAAGCGACATAGCTTTTCAACTTACTGAGTCCAATGCTGTGCATGTGGTGACAAAAATCATTTTAATATTTTTATCACACTTATTGTTTCCATTTTTGCTATTATTTTATTTGTTATTAATTACTTAATTACAGTTATTATTATAATTTATATTATAATTATATCTGGTAATAAGTATACTTGAAAAACTTCCAAACCATCTACACCAGAAAGACAGCTAGGCCCATTTTGGCCCCTCTTGTTTTTTATTGTAACTCAAATTTCATACTAAAAATATTGAGTATTTCTGACTTTATATAATTTGATCCAATTGAACGGTCTATTTAATCATTCATGTGTTAGCCTTATAGGAACATATATATAGGACCCTATACCTAGAATGACGGGATGAGCCAGAATGGCCCCTAAGGTATTTTGGAAGGTTGCCCTTAACCCCAGGTAGGTTTAGGTTTAGGGTACCCTTTTGTAAGGTATGAGGTACCCCAGTTTCATTCAAAAATAAAAAGAATAAAGAGTATTTCAGCATATCTTCAATTATAATTTATGGGGAAAAGGAAACTCAATTATCTCCTTTATCCAGCAAAATTAATCAAATCACAAACTTCTTACCCCTGACAGGTGTTTGCGCAATGTTGGATCAACCCTTTAGGGCCACATTTTTTCAAAAAGTGACATATCCTCATGAAACAGTTNCTTTTTTTTAATTTGTCTATTATTTTTCTTTGTTTTATTCTTCATTTTGAACATATATATATATATGTATATATATAGAAACTTATACCTAGAATGACTAGAGGGTCCAGAGTAGGCCCCTAAGGTATTTTGGTATGTTCTCCATAACCCCAGCTTGGTTTGGGTATAAGCTTTCTTTAGCAGGTATATGATACCCTAGATTCATAAAAAAAAACAGGAGTATTTCATCATATCTACAATTATTATTTACAGAGAAAAGGAAACTTAATTATCTTAAAAAAAAACTAATGTTTAAGTATAAATATGAAAAATCAGTGTTCTGTTTAATCAAATACTTTCAGCAATTGAATTAAATAAAATACCATAGAATTTTGATGTCCGAGTCTCTGATGTATTTCTTATCAAGTTAATTATGATTATATTTTAAAATTGTGAATGTCTAATTAATATACACACAAATAATCTGGGAAGGGCTAGACTGGCCCCTTCAGACTTTCTAGGTATACAGAAATGTTCAGTCTCTCTAGTGTTAAAGGTTAATATGACATGTATATTATTAACTAATTAATATCTTTAATTATATTAAAACTGAATAATGTTTTGTTTTAGAAAGACTCTCCAATTGACATGGCAAAGCGATTGAATCAAACATATCTTGTAAAACGTTTTGAAGAAGTAAAAAAAGAAAGGGATAGGAAAACCAGATGTCTTTCAATATACAGAGATAAGGTAATTGTTTACTTTTGGTATTTCTTACAATACTTGTTGTCTCTTGTTAACTTTTAACCATCCTATGATGTCATCATTCGCAAAAATGTCATTATCTATCAAAAATATGAAAACTTTCATTAAATATAAATAAATTTTTTCTGTTTTTGCAATACAGTGCATGACATTTAATGTGATGGCATATCTGTAAATAAAAGTTTTTATTCTAGTTAATGGTATATTTCACTATAAAATATCTACTTTGCATTAGAAATTAAATAGTATTTCTGCAGTTTTTTTTTATATCATTTTGAGTGTGGGTATTTAATAGGATTCAATAAAGTAAAATTACATAAACTTAAAAAATTTAATTCAAAGTGAATGTGAAAAAGAGCCTAATATATTTGACATATTAGATTTTCTTAGAAAACAGATCTACTGGTTATTTCTGTCCCTCCTACTCTATGGCTGTATCTCACACTTAGTAAAATTTCAATGTGTGATCAAGTCAAGTAGTTTTGATTCGGACATCCAGGAGTCATGAGTTTGTTAATCTAGGAAATTTCATTGTTATTTATAAATGATTCCAGGAAATTTAGTAATTTACAATAAGCATTGGAAGTAGATGCTACAAGTAGTGAAATTACTGTAGTTGCTACTTTTCAAAATAATGTAGTGAGTAGTGTGACAAAGAAAAAAAGTAGTTAATAGCAATTCCTGGCAACTAATTTTTCAAATCTAATTTTTATGAACCTTTGTGAATCTATCAATTGAGGCATTTAAAAATCCCTGTGACCGAACATTAATAAGGATTTCATGTTATTAATCTGTAAGCTAACCATTAAGAATAATAATTTATCAATATCATCATACCTTTAAATGGTAATTTATGCACGTGAAATGTTGATGTTATTTCAATGGGAGGCAACATTTTTTCTCTGTAATTTTAAATGTACTTTATTTCTGCAAGGAAATAAAAGAGCATTAACACTTCACAAAATCACAAGTATTCTAGAGTTTCCTAGCATTTATTAAACTAAATATTAAATAAGAAAGGCAATAAAAAAGTTGATGGTTGAAAGAATAAATTCATTGAAGATGGTGCGGACTAACAAACTGACTCAAGTAAACATGAATAAATATTTCTTAATGATTCCTCGTGTTTAATGAGCAAATTCCTTATTTAAAACCATTTTGAACTTGTGTGTAAAATAAGTTCTTCGGAAGTAGCAAAGTAGTGACAACATTTAGAATGTAGTATATAGTCACTACATTTAATTTTAAAAAAAATAGTTGTAGTTAACTGCGTGCGTAATAAAGCAACTTTATGTAACTAAAAAAATATATATATATATTTTTCCAACCTCTGGTTTCTACAAATTAGCAAGCATAATATTGGTATTTATTAAACCTATAATATATTTTCTGTATTAGCATGAACAACGTAATTGTTAGCTAACTAAAAAACTGATATTGTCATTATAAAAATTCATCAAAATTGAAATGAAGTTATTAAAAACTAAACTTCTACTCTCCTAATAGAAAAGAAATTTCTTCCTCTGTATTCAGGGATGAGNATTTCAAAATTATTACAAAAAAATTAAGAAAAAAATCAGTTGAAGACAGAAAAAAGTTCATTATATCCAACTTCCTCACTTTTTTGGTTCACTATATCCACAAAAATAACATTACACGTGTATAGCAAGGCATGGGACCAAACATTTCGTTCACTATATCCGGGAGTTCGCTATAAACCGTGTTCACTATAGCGGGGTTTGACTGTATTTTTAAACTTTTTTTATTAAATTTGTGTTAATTAAAGAACATGATTTTGTAGTTATTGAAAATCAATACTCTAGCTAAATGTCGGCAGATATTTTTTTTTATTCATTTTATAATCTGAAATTATTCAATTATATTCAGATTATAAATTTCAAAAAATCTTTGCATATACATGGAAAATTACTGCAATTAGCAATTAATTTTTTTTTGTTTCAGAAAAATATTTGTTTTTTGTTTCAGTTGTTTAAGAAAAAGATAAAAGATTCTTTATCTTTCAAGGAGAATAGAAAAAATACTTTTTTACTCCTTTTCTTACTTTTTCTCCACAATTTTTTAGACATTTCTCCCATGTTTCCCTGCTAGAAGGTTTCTTACCAGGGGGATATATAAATTGCAATGAATAAAAGAAAGCCATCTTTTTCAAAATTCCTGTAATTCTGGTTATTTTAAATATAAATTGTGAAATGAAACAATAAAAATTACTTGCTACTCTTGGCTTTGTTTTAAAAGAAGAATTAAGATTTAATATGGTATCTCAATAATTCTGATTGATTGCTTATTAGCTTGCACAACTCTGTAGGAGATTTTAGTTTCTAAATAACTTTGTTTGACTTTTAACTATTTATTGTTATTCTTTGTATTCTCTAACTTTCATCAACATAATTTTTAGAACCTTTTAAAACATCATGTTTTAAAAACAGGTTTTGTATTGTACAGTAAATGTTAAGGTCTTTAAAATAACTTTTTTCTTTATTAAACTCTCAGCTTTTGCATATTTCAAAAGTATTTATAGCAGTGAGATAAAATGTTTTTTTTTTCTTTCTCGTTATCTTAAATTTTTATATTTGAATGTTTTATATTATTATTTTCTCTTTTTTGTATAGCAAAGTATGATCCTATAATTTTAGTAATACATTTTCCTCTCATTGTTTCTCAGAAATTAAGGTACAGCTGCATGGTTGGATCTCCTTTCATATTGTTTTATGTTATTGGAGCTGTATTTGAAAGCCGTGAATCATATCTAATTAAAGTTGGCCTATTACTGTTCCTTGGTGTTGCTGTTACTATAGCAGGAAGGTGAATATACTATCAATTTTTGTTCATTTGTTAGTTAATTTATAAACAAATTTACTGTGCCACGAGTCTTTATCCTTTATTTTTGTATCAAAAGTTTTTTTTAATAAATTTTTTGATCAGGCAAAATCAGAAGGCTCTCAGGGAAATTAAAAGTGTTGGAGAATTTGCTTATGGTGAAATAAATACTGCATATATTGGTGTATAAGTTGACATTCTATTTTTCTTTACAAGATTGCAAATTTCTGGTATGTTAGGTGTAAATGTCGAGTGCTGAAAAAAATCTAATATGAAAATTTCTAAAATTAAAAAACTCTTTAAATATAATATTCAATCGTTTTGGAATTATCGGTCGATGGTAAGAAGAAAAAACTATTTATAAAAAAAACAGGAAATATCTGCATTGCTCCTATAGACACCATGTGCTAAATGTTACTAGGTGCCTGTCAAAATGTTGATCTAAATGCTATTATAAATATAATAATAAATAATATAGGTGTAGAATTTTGAAATTTTTAAATGGGGGGGGTTAAAATAACTTTTTTTTTTTGACCGAGCAGATGAGGATAAATTAGAATCTATTGCAGAAAGAGATAGATTCAAATGATAACACTGCTAACGTTATCCGACACAGATGTTTTCAAATTGTATCTTTATGAAATTCTTTTTAACGTTTTCGTTGTGTTATATTTTTTTTAAATAATCTTGAATAAATTATCACAACTTTTCTGATTGTTAATTTTTTTTCTGACATATAATGAAAATATTATGAAAAGAAATGCAAAATTTACTGTAAATAACATTATAAAAACTAGTTTTTGAAAGGCAGTGTTTTCACCACAGCGCGAGAATCTCGCATATTTTTTTCTTTTCTCGCATTAAAAAATGATTAACGCGAGAAGTTCGCGCACTGAATTTACAATTTTAAAATGCACGAATCTCTCGAATTTTGAAAAAAATTTAGTCTTCTGCCATTTTGAAAAAGACATGAAAACAGCTACGACAAGTATTGAGAAAAAAAGTGAGTTCTTTATAATAAGTTGTTTAAAGTTATCTCTAGTTTTCGCTGTTAATGAATTACCAAACTCCCTCATCGACAATTTAGAGCAATTTGTAAAAGTTTAAGTCTGTGAAAACTAATCTGGAATCCCTGACAAAGAGTATGATCATGGAAATAACTTCAACGAACTTCACTATTCCATAACAGAAATAAGTGAAGAGCCTATGCTTGCAGATGTAGAGTATAGGAAAGTGTGTGCACAATGCTACAAATTTAATTAGTGATTCCAAATAGTTCAGCATCTGTTGCAAGGTTATTTAGCCCCCAAACCGAATTAAAACAAAATATCGTAACAGATCGATTGGTAAGCATTTGAGCAAACCTAATGAGAATAGTTAATGAAAAAGTAGATATAGAACGTTTTCCATATGATAATGCAGCAAAAATATTCAATGTTCAATAATTTAGAAATCAGAAGATGTTAAAAATTTATTATAACAAAAGAAATATTTTTTTTCCAAGTCTATTCGTGTCTTTTTAATTTTTAGAAATCTCACCCTGTTTTTGAGAAAGGGTGGGAAATTCTCTCCCATTTTTTTTTCTGTAATGAAAACACTGAAAGGGGTAATTTGATATATATATATATATATATATATATATATATATTCTCTCCTTCGATATTTCGAGATGAACACCTGTCCAACTTTTGGCAGTGTATGATTAAAATTTTGGAATTTTCGTAAAATGATTTTCCCTTATTTTGGCAAAATTTTGGAAATATACAGCAAGTAAATTAGTGAAAGTTCCAAAAAAAAATTAACAATCTTAGTATTTATTAGTGGTTTCAATGAAATGACTCAAGAAATTTGTTAAATATGAATTAGAACATTAAAACTCTATTTTAATCATTTATTATTATTTTTTTATTATTTTTTATTTTTTTGTTACTTACTACCTTTTTGACACATATTGTTGAAGTCTATATAGAGATAAATTGCAACTTATAAAATTTGAGTTCTTTCTTTTTTTCATATTGGTGTGGAACTTCAGGCAATAAATATATAATACAAAACAATATTTATAGCTTTCTTTCTATTTTTAAATATTGCTAATATGTTTTTTAATTAATAAAACTTTACAAATTAAAAATAATTTTAAATTGAAAAAAAAAAATATGCCACTAAAATGGTTAAAGACCTAACCAAAATACAGCTCATTTTCTTGTGAAATCAAAACATGAGAAAGTGAAAAAGCTGAGAATTAAAAAGAAATCCATGTTTAACAAGATATAACTAAGTAGTGTTAAGGTTAGTATAAAAGCAAATATTTTTGAAACCAACCTATTAACTCTTTTGCAGTTTTGACAGTCTAGAAAATTTATGCATGTTTTTTAGGCTGTAGGTTAAAAATAATAATCTGTTCTTAATTAATGATTTTTTCTCTAATATACTTCTCTGTGAATACGGAGAAAATTGGTCCCACAGTAGATTGATCTTAAGACATGGTTCCCAGTCCATTACTGAAGTCAAGCATCACTTAGTTGCGGTCAGTGAGCAGGTCTGTGACCACTTGTATCAGCCTGTGAATAAACAAAGTGTGTGTGGTAAGGATCCTCACTAAACTCTTCTACCGTAAAGTGCCCAATCTCACAAGCAGGTTGTCGGGCTACCAAAGCAGGGGAGCCACCCCCTTTGCAGAGGAATAAAACTGTGATGGTGTGTCTTCGGATTATCCTTAGTATTATTCCCCAGACCTCTGCCCATAGCCCGTTGTACAGCTCTAGTACTACTATTATTACTGAGATAGTTTTAATATAATAGAAATTTATGTAAAAAAATTTTATGGCGATATTTAGCCCACTAAATGGTTAAGTTACCCGTCTTTTTACTAATGTTACCTGTTCTTTTCGTAATAAATAAAAATGTCTCCATGAAGTTTGATTAAACTTCCGATCAACATAAACAAATTTTTAAACTAGTTTTTCATTTAATAATATTTTTTTTGTGTTTATTTGCAGTTATTCTAGACTCGCAACTTTATTTTATTTCTTTCACGCCATTTGGTTATTTGATAGTTATATCGCAAATAGGACTTTACTAATTAACTAATCTGCTTTGAAATGCATTGAGGTACTTAAAATCCACTGTATTTTTGAAAGCTAAACCAATATTTTATAGTTTTAATGAAAAGTATAACTTTTTATGGTTTTCTGCTTAAACACCGGGTGTTGTTTATAATAAATATTAATTGATTGATTTTTCCTTTAAATGAATTCAGAAAAATCAAAAACATTAACAAACTGTTACCTATTGAGGTCAGTTAACATAAAGATGGGATTAAAATAATTAACTGAAGTTTATTTGAAGATATATTGTTAAAAGCAATTTCCAGCAGAGATTTCAGACGCATTAGGCAAACAAAATCATTTTTGTAAAACCCTCCTTCAATTTTCCCTACTTATATGTTAGTTAGGCCATAGTTTGGTATTGCTTTATTATTTAAATATAAATTTATTATGCATATTTTGCCTAGCTCTTTCACTTTATTTTTTTTTATTTAAAAAAAGAAGTGTAACACTATCAATGACTACTTTTAAAAATTATTCATGTTTTTTACAAAATTTTATATTAAACTTACATTTCCTAATTAAAAATTGCATGTGATACATATCAAATGAAAGCATATGCTTTTGGTATGATAAAAAATTCTTGTCTATAATTTTGTTATAATTTTTGTAAAATTGATTTTTACATTGTTTTCAGATTGTTGTTTGATGATAGAATATTAAATGTACTACCAATTTCTGTGTATTTGTCTACAAAATTCTGGATGTACATCACTTGGTTTATGTGGTTCCATCCCTGTATCCTTTTTTTAAAAATTTAATTTAATTTTAAAAAAAAAAAGCAAAACACAGTGGATAATTCAAAGTCTTATCAGAAAACAGAATTACTTTGAATTATTCAAAATTTGTCTGATCTAGAATTGAACTTATGTTATTCAAATATGAAAACAGTCAAATTAACACTAAATATTGTTCTTTTCTTATTTTCCTTTTAAAGTTGTCAAAATAGTAAATTCCAAACTTAGTAATGACATCCAGACCTGTATAATTTACACGAATGCAGTTCGCAGAAACTGCAAAAGCAAAATAAAAAAAATTTTTACACTCTTCCTAACATTACAAACGTGATTTAAAGTTACATTCACATAATTTAAAGTCACAAATAACGATTCCTATTTACATGATTTAGGATCGTGTTTTGTAATGTCCTGATTTTATTTCAAATATCACGTTTCATATTCACGAGGTTTAAAAGCCACTATTGTGATTCGTCTTCAAGTGACTTTAAAACTATACATCAGAATTCGTATTCAGGCAATTTTAAAACTAAACATCAAGTTTTCTATTTTCAGGTTTTTTTTTTGTCAAATATCGCATTTTGTATTCACTTGACTTAAAAGCCACTATTATGATTCGTGTTCAAGAGACTTATAAATTATGTGTCAGAATTCGTATTCACGCAATTTTAAATGCAAGCATCCTTATTCATGTTAACGCAAATTTAAAATAAAACATCAATATTTGTATTAGCACAATTTTAAAATTGAATATCGAGATTCATATTCGGGGAATTTAAAAATCACTCATTAATATTTGCAGTCCCACAATTTAAATAAATAAGTAAAATCTCGTATCAATATTTTTATTAAGCAAATTTCGCTAAAATGAAATAGTGACAAACGGGTGAAAATGGTTACAAGAGTTAATCAATGTGTGCAGAAAGTTTTTTAATTGAGGTTTAATATTCACAGAAAGTTTTTTATTTTATCCAAGTCTGTCAATATTCCTTTTCTTTCTGTTATCCTTTTTACCTTCCTCAATGAATTAAGGTTAAGCATGGTTAAATTGGTAAGATTTCTGTTTTGTTTATTTTTTCTTCCTTGTTTAAGCATTAGTAAAGTTTGAAATCACCTAATGTTAAATCAACACCTTTTTACAAGTAAAGCTTGTATTAAAATTCTAGATACAGCTGTATACGGTTAAATTTTTATTATTACAATCTCTTAATATCCCCTAAAAATGTGTCATAAGGTAAATGAATTTTATACTAGTCTAAATCTTTTTGTAATTATCGCAAAATTATGAAGTTCAATTTAGAGTTTGTCTTTAAATTTTTGTAGTACTAATGAAATATTTTTCTATGGTAGAAAATAGAATCTTAAAAATAGTATTTCTGCACTAATAATAATTGTCTTACAATAGTATTTCTGTAAGGCAGGAATATACCTAATAACAGGAATTTAGTGTCATCTCTACTATTTGTGGCATAGAGAGAGAGAGAGATTGTTTACTGTACTAGTAAAAGGTAGTAGAAATTGTGTACTTGAATTTAAAAAATAAATAAAGAGTTAATTTCATTGAAAGTGATTTCTTTCTTAAAGTTAAATTTTACTTCATTAAAGAAATCTTTAATGAACCTATTCTAATGTTTTGTTTAATTTAAAAGTCAGTGTGCTTATGCTAATTTCTCTGTTTTCTCTTGTGCTTTATGAATAAAAGTGAGCTAATATACATAGGAGTTTATTTAGAAATTGTTAATAATTATTTTTGTGTTGTTTCATGTATTGAATCTTACATTGAAAACTTATCCAAAATCAGCTACTGCATTATTTGAATGCAAAATGTGTTTCTGAAAATAGTTGTAATTCAAAATATATAGCTTGCATTTAAGAGACCATACGAAGAACAATAAAAAAGTTAATTTTCTTTAAATTTATGGTAGGATATTATTAAATATTTATTGAATTACCAGAAACATTTAGAAATATCAACCTTATTGTTTGTTTTATTTCTTTAACTGTTTATCTCAAGATGTTGGTGACATATGGAGGACATTAGGCTTTATGTTGTGTACAATGTTCCTGTTTTATTCTTTTATAAAAGCTTGGAAATCTGACCCAGGCATTATACAAAGTACTCCAGAGCAGAGGTATAAGGTATGTTTCTTTAAATAATCTAATGTTTCACTGGAATCTTGTCATGACATAGTTTAAAAGTAATTGAATGACTAATGATATTCTAAAGTATGAAGAAAGTTGAAGTAATTTAGAAGTTCACCAGACATGCAAAACATGCCATAGAGAGGCAAACAAAGTAGTCAAATGAACCTCCTGAGTAAATGATGTTAGATCTGAAAATAACCCCTTGCTATATGGCAAGTCTGCAAAAAAATTATAGAATCAAATAAGCAGCCGTCACTTTATCCCATTGTTTTTTTAAAATCGTTATTGTTTAATGGTGAAAGTACATCAATGCAGAGAAACTCTGGAAAGCAGAATTTTCAGTAAGATGTCTAATGTCGCCAATCCTTCAGAATCCATCAATTTATAATGGAAAGATTCACATGGAAGAAAAGTTCTTTAACAATTCACATATTTCAAAGTTGTAGTGTATGCATTAAATGTATTTTGCTTCCTCAAATATTTTTTAAATAAAGTTCTTTGTATTCAATGTGTTTAAGTAAATTTTGTCACATGTTTATATTAATTATATTGTTAAACTAACCTTTTGTAGTCTTGAAATATTTCTATTAGAACTTTCCGGAATAAGAAATTTTGTTTAAAAAAAACTACTTTTTTTTAAAATTACGCCAGCCATTGTCTTCTCAGTCATAAGGCGTCTTGCTGTCCAATACAGTAGTGAAATAGCTCTAGAAGGTGAGAGGATACGAAAGTCGTCACAGAAACGAATGTCAAGAAGAGAGGGGCAATCAAATCGATGCTCCCCAGTCATAGGCGAAGTGTTACAGAGCACACAAACAAGTGAATTGACCAGGTTAATTTTAAATAGATAGGCCTGCAAGTAGTCATATCCAGTAATTATTCTAAGACAAGCAACTCCCTCGACCCTGGAAAGGTGGGAAAGATGAGAGTGCTGCTGGCCATCAAGAATGCTAGCCCAGGATTTTCCATCAGCTAAGTCCTTAAGAGCAGATGTTGCTCTGTGTCTGAATTTACTCTTAAGAAGCCGCTTTGCATTTCTAAGAGGAACTAGTTGAGAAGGTGGGTGCAATGCTCTGTAGCCAACATGTCAACCCATTCCTTTCCATAGATGCCACAATGGCCAGGGATCTATTGGAGGACTACCTCTCTTCCAGAACAAAGAAGAGAGTCGATGCATTGTTAAACAAATACTATATAACTAATTTTTTTAACAGAAAAAAATATATTATAGGCTAATGCTTTCAATTCAAACTATCTTTAAATAAATGTTCTTTCACTGTCTAAATCAGTGATTCTCAACCATTTTTTTGTTGTGGCACACTTTTAACGATTTCGAAATTTGACGGCACACAATGAAAAAAATTTAGATTAAAAGTTGTTTAATTACCTATTTTACACTGTGTTAAATTGTTTGTGATAATAATTTTGAATGTGAAATAAAATAATATGTACTACAAAAGCACATTTATTAAGGGATTAATTATTTCTTTCGACCAATATTTTATTAGTTATTTATTTTTTTGTAACAGTTATTTACATTTTTGCTAGTTATTAATTGTTAGCTTGTTTTCTATAGTTATTAACTGTTAGTTTTTTTNTAAATAACGAAACAAGATTTTCCATAATAATTACAACCCTTCCTTGCAATTTATGCAAAAGGCTTAATGTTCAGTGCGAGAATTATCTTTAGAGGGATTACAAGTATAGCGCTCCCACTGCGGTTAGTTGTTGTTCAAGGTAGTCGTGGATGTAGACTCCCCAATTTCGAGACTATTGGCATATCGGTGCAATTGCGGTCAGTATTTCTCACCGACTACTTTTATTGGTCAGGCAAACTGGTATTCATTGATCTGAAGCTAGATGGATTTCAAGCAGCTACTAGAGATAGAACCCAGCTTTTAAAGATGAAAATACAATGCCTTAACAGGGGTCTGTTTAGAAGAAATTTGAGTCCGTTAACGGACCCTTCGCAAAATACCTTTTCATAAAAATGGACCCTTCACAAAATATTTTAACTTAAAAATGGACCCTTCACAAAATAATTTATCTTTTAATTGGACCCTTCACAAATTTGTTTATCTTTACTATTGTTTTGTTAATCGAATAAGCCCTTCCCAGGAAGGGGGGGGGGGAGAGACAAATGTAAACTAACTAAATTTTGTCTTCGGCAGATACTTCTTTCTTTATTCGTCCGAAATTAATATTCTGTGCTGAGCAGTATAGGCTAAATACCAAATATTTGTATGTTGCATCTCTAATTTAGTAGCAGCAATTGCTGTTTATTTTTTTAAAATTTAATTTTTTTTAATTATAATTTTACAGTGTTGAGCATAATCTTGTCTGTCTTTATAATTTAAAAACTCCTTCAAAAAGTTTTCTGTAACAACAGGACCCTATTTGCACAAATTCACAAAAGCAGAACCTTGGTTGAAAGAATGTGACTTAACGTTTATTTTATATTCACAAATTACGAGTAATTTTTTCACAATTTTACAAAAACGGACCTTTTACAAAATGTCTGGACAGACCCCTGCTTAACCACTGTGACTATTAATCTGTTGTAAGTTAAGAAAAACATTATTCTTAAAGAGAGATCCTGTTCGCATCCAAGTGCATGCCAAATGGATGCCAAGCTTCCAGCGCAAATGAATATCAGCATCGCCAACTCTTGAAACAATGTTGAACAGCCATCTTTTTGCTTTCTTAAATCGTGTGAAATTTGGAAAACAAAATTTATTGAATAATCAATTAATAAGTAATAAGAACTAATAAAAATAATATCACGAAATTGTAACAAATATACATCTCTCTGTCCTCATTTAAAAAAACTGATGAAAGAATAATAAATATTGTTTCTTGCAGACAATTTTTTACAGCTGTACAAAAGTAAAAATTCTTTATATTGCATTTGATTTGTGGAGGGTATGTCAGCATAGGATCCACCATTTTTAGTGATCCAATGAAATGCAATGCTCTTGCAATATCATGTAGATGTTTCTTTTTCAAGAACGAATGATCTCTTTATTTATCGAAATATGTCGGCAAGTCTAGTATTCCAGTAAGACTATGAAACTATAACTTTTTTTAAAAATAATTCTATGATAATTATCGTAAAAGATAGCACAAACTAAAATTCTGTGTGACATGTTTAACTTTTAAAAGTTTTTTTATTTGTTTGAAAGCATATTTGTTTAATTTGATAATGAAATAAAACGGAACTAAATGCATTTGCGGATGATTACCTTTTCAGAATTTATAGGATTATTGAAAGATATAAAGAAAAAACTTGGTGGAATAAAATTTCTTCTTATGAAATAGCATGAAAGATATTGTAGGGTCATATACTTATTTACAATTTTTCAAACATGAAACCAAATTTTGAGATTAATTGTTCCAAAAATTCAAATTAATATCTTTGTTTACTTTATTTAAAATAATTTGAATTTCATTAATGAAAGTTTTAAAAACAGTTTTGTTTTATATTTCTTTTACTTATAGGTTTAGGAAATCATAAATATTTTGTGATGTATCTTTTTTGGCTTCTGATTATGATAATGTGGTGTATACATGGCTGTTTAAGGTGTAAGTATAACATATTTTTTTACCTTGTATGCTAAACCCTCTTTTAATCAGTTTTAACAAGGTTTTTGGTCATGACATTCTTAAAATGTTGGCATTGACTGACAAGCAAAATTAAGGAAAATTTCTTTCATGTTTTTAAACGATTTTGATATGTACAGTGCACAAAAAAAATAAATGGATCTTCGCGTTCGACGACTAAATCTTAATGGTGCGAGCAGGTGGCCTCAAATATGTTAATTAATCACTACAAACGACAAACAAACTAACTCAATTATTAAATAAATTCAATTTGTTTTGATAATTTCTACTTTAGAGCACTACCAGAGGGAAAACATTTTCTATAAACTGCAAATATTGGAGGATATGTTAATGATGTGAAGAAGTGATTGAAGTGGTTTTCGAAAGTTATTAACACTTGTCATGTCAAAAACTGGTTTAATAAAAACTCTAGTTTTATTTTAGAAAATTCTTCAAAATTGTGAATGTTACTGAAAATATTTCTATGGTACAGATTTTTCTCTCTAAATGATTTAGTCCTGCAGTGGACTGGTCATTGGACACGGTTCCCAGTAGAACCGTGCTCAGTAGTAGTCAGGCATTACTGGCTGCAGTCAGTAAGCGGGCGGGTGACCACTTTGATCAACCTGCATAGGGACTGAAGGACATATGGTATAGGTCCTCCTTAAACTGTTGGACCTTAAAGTGGTTAACTTTGCAGCAGGTCATCGGGCTACAGAAGTAGGGGAGCCATCCCCTCTGCAGAGGATCAACATTGCAATGGCATGTCTTCGGATCATCCTCAGGGATGTTTCCGAGATTGTCGTCAATATCCCATTGTGCAGCTCTAACGTAGTTGTGCCGTAACGTCTAACGTAATAATCCATTGTGCGACGTAAATAAAGTACCTACCTACCTCTAAATGATGTAAATATTTAAAAAAGTATAATTAAAGCAAGGATGTAAGCCTGAAAAAAATATTAAATGTAAAAAATTATTAAAATAACTTAGTGGGATAAAATATTTAATGTAAAACTTATATTGTTTCATATAATTTAATGATCCATTTCCCATTGGTAACTATGGTATTCGATATTGGATTTAGAAATGTTTAACTTGAATTTCTTCCCATCTAGATTGGCATGGAAACCTAGGAAATGAAGAGATGCATTTTTCACTCTTCATTTATAAAGCACTTCATGTGAGTGGTTGGGTCAGCTGGATTGCAGCAAATGCCTGTTTGCATGGCTTTTGGGTCGGTTGCCTTCTTCTATGTCAGCTGTATCAGGTAAATAATTTAAAATTCTTGTTCAAAATGTGAGCATTATTGCAATCAAAATTTAAATATTAATTTTACTTATTCTGAAGTTGTTATAAAAATAAAAAAGATAAAGTGGAAAACGGAGACTAAATAGTTTAAGTAGGAGAGCATTATTAACATTACATTAAGGGGGTCCAAAATTCGGACCCCCTTGATGTCAATTTCATTATTTTATGTATTCCGCTCGATCTCAAAGATGTCTTCTGAGTGAGTCAAAAAAATTTCCAATTGTCCATATCGTTTGTTATTCTAGAGCTGACTCCATGTAAAAAAAATTAATAATTATTTATTATTGATTTATTTAATAATAGTAAAAATACAGTAGGGAACCGATTATCCGGAACGATCGGGACCATCGCTATTCCGGAAAGCTGATTTTTCCGGTTTTCTGAATCGGTATAAAAAGCCGATTTTTTTATTGTTAAACCCAAATAAAAAAAAAATATTTGGAAATAATCTTAAAAAGAAGAAAAAACTATGAAGTAATACACTAATGATTATTTCTAAAATGATGGTAAGGTAAACATCTTTCAAAAAAGAAAGAAAAATCCTAAAATCTTATGAAGAAAAAAAACACTTTTTTAAAAAAATGGCGGGAAAATTTATCGAATTTTGTTCCGGTTTTCTGATTTCCGGATAACGGGTTCTGTACTGTAATTGAATTGTTAGGTATATCAAACTATTACATCATTTTAATGTATTAAATGACGATTACAAAGTTTAAACAAAAAAGACAAAATAGTTTTTGAGTAATAATTTTTTTAATTTTATTTATTCTCAATTTGATATTATATGCCCCTCCCTAATGTGATGACTATAGATATGGCCAATTTTTATTCTATTGTATGTCAAAGTATAATAGACCAAAAAATATCAAAATGTTTGCTTGTGTTTCTGACACTATTTATTTTTGCAGGTTATATGGCTTGCAATGACAACAAATGAACGAATGAACTGTTCACGGTATCGCCATTTCAAGCGAGATAAAAAAGGCATAATAAGAAGTCCTTTTTAGTAAGTATTCATTTAATAATTTTTACTGTGATAGATGGCTTTGGTAGGGTACATTAATATTTATTTTAAAATAAATACAGTGAAACCACTCTGTTCCACAATAAAGCAATCGTTAATGGAGGTTGGTCGTTCCTAGGGTTACCTTCTTTGACTTCAAAATGATGTCGAAGGTACTCTTTTTTTTTCTGATTGATGAAGGAAAGGTTTTCATGCTTTTTCCTAAAAGTTTTCTTTAACGCAATGTCCATGGAAAAAATTCTGTACCTCCCAAAAGTGGTCGCAAATGGAGGTGAATTTTCACTGTATTTGCATTTAGTTTGTTTTCAATATTTTTCATTAATATTTATTTTAAAATAAATATCAGCATTGAAGATATTTTCAATATTTTTTATTCAAATTAGGCGAAAGCTAATTTTTGTAATTTAAAAAGTATTTAAATTAGCATTTTAACGGATTAAGCCAAAATACAACCCATGGTCTGCAGCTCACAAGAGATCACGGATAATGTGCTTTCGGGGGGGGGGGGGGGTGGNTTGGTTAAGAGTCACTTTAATCATATGTTTTTAATATTTTTAAAGTCAGGACAGCTAACTGAATACAATAACGTTATTTTCTTTATAAAATTTTTTATCTAATTATAATTGTACAGTTTCTTTTACTAATTGCCCATATTATGCCCATTATGTATATAATTTTATATATTTAATTACATTATATATTTAATTTTACTTGTACAGTTTCTTTTACTAATTACTGACAAATATGCCCAATTTATTTATATGTGTGTATATATGTACAGGGTGCAAAAAAAAAGAACTCGTTCAAAATTATTGCATCATAGGATAGATGTTAACTAATTTCTTTTATTTTTGTGTTCATTTCTTGTCTAACATCCTAAAATACTAAATCTCTTTGTTTCATATTAGGTTTACATTGTCAAGCTAAATGTATTGATTACATGTTATGGATAAAATGAAAAACTTTGTGCAAACACAAAATCTCAATTAAAAAGCTTTCTGTATGCATTGATTAACTCTTGTAGCTAGTTACAACCCATGTGTCAAACTCATTTTTCAAAATTTGTTTGAAAAATTCAAATTTTTTTAAAAATATTTAATTTTTATAGAACTATATATTGATTCATACTGCAAGAATGAGTTTGATAAACAACCAAAAAAGCTGAAAATAGAAATCAAAAAATATTCTGTGTAAAAACACTTTTTAAATATATGAAAAAATACCTGAAATATGAGCAAGAAAAAATATATGTAGGAAGTATTTATCCACAGAATGTGGATAAATCAACAAATGCATTATCAACAGTTTTATAAAAATATTGATACGAGATTTTTTTTATTTTTTTAAATCATGCGAATATGAATTTTGACATTTTATTTTAAAATTGTGTGGATACAAGTCTTAATGTTTGATTGAAAAATTGTACAAATATGAATCTCGATATTTGATTTTAAAATGGCATGAATACAAATCTTGATGTTTGATTTTAAAATCACTTTAATACAAATCTTGACATTTGATTTTAAAATCATGTAAATACGAATCTTGATGTTTAATTTTAAAATCACTTGAATACAAATCTTGACATTTGATTTTAAAATCATGTAAATATGAATCTTGATGTTTGATTTTAAAATTGTGTGAATACTAATTCCAATGTACAACTTTTAATTAGCTTGAAAGCGCAAATCAAAATCGTGGTTTCTAAATCGTGTGAATATTTTAATAATATCCATTTAGATTGTTTTTTAAACTAACAAATTCCCACTTCTATCGTTCAATGGCCAAAGAAATGCAAAGTGATTCCGATAAAGACTGAACTCAACCAATTGGAGCAAACATTAGCGGAAGACCTCAACTTTTTGTATTCACACGAACTTTCAGAAAATGAACAGTAATCTGTAGCAAATTTTGAAAATTTATTGTTTGTTGTACTAAGCAGAAAAAGAACCAAAATTTCCAAATATTTTAAATAAACGCATCAATTTATATATCCTTCTTTTGCATCATAAATATTGAAGCAAGAGGTACATAATTTCTTCAACTAAAATTATTCAGTGCAATTTTGCATTATTAAGGGCATTTTTCAAATTTTAAAGGATATTTTTTAGGGATTTTTAAATCATCAAAAAATCTGGGCTCTAGTCGTGATATTTGAGTTTATGCTGTTGGTCCACATTTATTTAATCTTATAAGTATTTAATGTTATAAATTCAATTTCTTTATGATTTAGTCATTCTTTGTGAGTTCTTTTTGCACCATTCAAAATATATATATTCAAAAGAAAGACTTTTTTATTTTCTAGGAATAAAATTAGTATATTTTATAAATACTTTGGATATGCATGTATCTGACTGAACTTTTTATCATTTTCAGTCGTGGTGCCGTTCGAAACTTTTTAGACTTTTTCGAATGGCGATGCTGTGGACTTTACCAGATGGATACTAGGGACTGGAAACAAATATATGACTCTGACGATGAGGGTGAAAGTGCCATTCTGATACGACCTGAGCACCATTATATATAAGAAAATAGTCAATGTATATATTATATTAACTTACGAGGATTTATTGTATGGAAATATCCATTAGTCAAGTCAATATGATGGTAGGACTGTACAAGAGTGGAAAAGAGCTGCTCTTTCGCACCATTCGTCTGGTACAATGGCTCTTTCTATCTTGTCGGTGCTTTTTCTGGATTGTTTCGTCCTCATTGTTTCTTCAAAACATTGCATAGGCCTTATTTATTAAAAAAAAGGACTTTTTGTATTCATAGATTGTATATTTTGCTTGCTACTACTGAACTCTTCACTTGTATATTGTTTTCTCATGTATTTTGTATATTGTATTTTCTGCAAATTGTGATAAACATTGGATGTGTGTAAAATATACTAGACAACTAGAGGTAATACAAATAAATGTTTCAAGTTGTATGGATTTGATACTCTTTCGAGAAATAAGTGCTGACTTCTAGAATGGCTTTTTTGGTTGATGCTATTACTTCATAAAGTTGTCACAAAATCAGCAAAATGATTCAAATAGAACAGCCTTATAAACGTACCAGCCTTTATGCTGAGTGGTTAGCAAATAATTTTTTCGTTATCTGACTTGGTAGCTTCCCTGGTTTTTTTTCTCTTTTTATTGTTGTTGGAAGATAAAGTAGTAAATAGAGAAGAAATTCCCAAAACTTTACTAACTTGAGATTCACTAAGTTTATTAGTTGTTTTTGAAGACGAAAAAAAAAATGCTTACCTTCCTTTTTTTTTATTTAGTTATTTAAAATTTTATATGATTAAAAATTACACTAAATTTCTGTAAAGTTAGATAATGTTCTTTTAAAACTAACAAGCAGCTATGTATCAAAATTTTACAAAACTTCTGCAGCAAATAAATAAATGCGTTATAGGTTTGCAGAAAGTATGTGTGAGCTGTTACACCCATTGCTAAAGGCCCTTATATAGCAAAACGGAAAAGTGCAAAAACTGGTACGAAAGACATTTCATTTTAGCATTTTTTTCGAGAAAAATAAAATGTCTGTAACTATCAAGATTTCTTCTGTAATTTTAGTCTATATATGAAACTGCTTATTTTTCAAGGATAATGTAGATATTGTTGAATAATTTTAAAAAGAATTAGTTAACTCCTCTCGGAAACTAGTTATAACCGAAATGGTTCTACTACCAGCCATTCCTCTTTTCCGTCTCGCTTTCACCCCTGGTTACACCTCTCTCCAAACTTCTACACAACAACGAACGAAAGAACTTTCAGCCACAGCATACTGAAAGTGCACTGAGCTGTGTATACATTCCGATTTTTTTTCCTTCCATTGTCAAGATCACATTCATAATCCCCAGCTTGCTAAAAATGGAGCACCATCATCGAATTCCATTACTTTGTTTATAAATTATTTGTTTAGGTTGGCTTTGTTGACAGAATAACTAAGTAGCATCAACCAAATAAGCGACTGTATTTAAAGTTGATATTTTGTACACATCTCTCGCTAAGTCAAGTCACAAAACTATGGATCATCCTATGCAAGAACTCATTTGTTTCATTGTGTGTAATGATTCATTTATTTCATGATTTTTCTCTGCTGTCTGTAAAGTGTTGCAGTGACAGTGCTCGCAACAGCATCAAAGCACTTCAGTGCAGGTGGAATAACACTGCCTGAATTCAACTCATTCGCAAGTTTATTATAACTCAGGAGGTTGTAAAATAACATAATGTTTATCGTCTTCTTCTCATCTCATCTGTGTAACTGTATTTTTTTATATCTATTCAGTGCACTTAAATCAGTCAGTGTCCTTTAGATTTATAATTGCTAGTACTATCTTCGTTAAATCGAGCATAAAGGTGCGTGGACAAAAACATAAATAAAAAGAAAGGACCGATAATATTGCAAATAGATTTAAGCCAAGCTTTGCATATGCTTCCCTAGTTACATCTCTAAAATGTGTTAGACAGATATTATAAATATGAAAAATATTTTGTTCACAATGTTTAAGTCATAGACTGATTGAATGATGTTGCTCTTTGCAAATGCCGAATGAATTTTTCGATGCACCAAGCTAATTGAAAAAGCCTTCTGCCCGATATTCTCTAGGCTCATTACCATCAGCCTATGTGTCTTTTAGACTAACTGTGTGAAGGATTACTGTGTGATTGATTTTGTTTAGACTTATTTAAATTAGCCTTTTATAAGGCTATTTAAAAATAAGCCTTCACTACTTATTTCAAACTGGTGGAAATAAATCAAGATAATTGAACTGTGAATTACATATTTTCTAATTAATCTAAAGGTATGTAAGTTCACTGCAAGTGTTAAAATGATTAGAAAACGCTGGAGACTTGTAATTAGCATAACTCATTGCAGTTTGTGCGCAGAAACCAAATTATCCATTGTTCTTTTGTCTGATACTCCTTTCGCTGATATTTTTTCTAAGGGTTAAGTTTTATTTTGCTCGACTTATCTATCAATTTAATCAAATTTAATATAAATTCTAATGTATATCATAATTTTAGTATTCGTGGTTTTGTCCAGTAATAGAGTATAATATACCTTTTAAAAAACATCATTTTATCAGTTTGTTTTATTGATGTTACATAATCAAGTGTTTATTTATTTTTACATAATTTTAATGTAAAAAATTGTTTTTCCTTTGCTATATTTTTGCATATTGTTGAATTTCTTAAATCCCTATGGATATTAGTAATGCATTGTTATGTACTGCATTTTTAACAACTTAGTGGCTAAAATTCTTTTCTTTTCCTCTTCAATTTTTTTAAAATTTTAGCTTATTATTGTACCCTTGTAGATATAATGATATCTTCATCAAATATGCAATACATTTTTGACTAAACTTAATATGTATTTAACATTATGTCTAAAATGTCACAGAATTGTGTTATTCTTACAATAATTTTTTCTGTGCTTTAATCCTAACATATGATATGATGTTCTTCATGGAATATATCAATTTTTTTCTGAATACTTTTTTTCATTAAACAATCAATGTCTTTAATTTCTCTTTTCTTTTTTTTTTAAATTGGTTATTTACATTTAATAAGTAAATGCATTAAATTATTAAATTTACAAAATTTTTGTCCTGTTTGTTAAAAACTTAACAAAAAATTTGACTGAAGAAGTAAAGAGTTACTTAATACTTTAGGATAAATTTGATATTTTAAATTTGTTTTATTAATTAGGCTTTGTCTTTTGAAACCAACATCATTCATTATCTCCAAACCAGGCAGTTGGGTAAATGTTTTCAAATTAAACTGAGTTCCAAGATTACTTTAAGATTATTTTTCTTGTCTAAATTATTTTTTATATGTAAATTAAAAAGTACTTTAATAATAACTGGTTTTGATGTATATATGTTTCCTACTTATTTTAGTTTGAAAAAGGACCAATCACAACTGCTTTATGATAAAGTTTTGTTTCAGTCCTTCGAAAATAATTTTAATAAATGTTCTAAAACATTTTTTTTATAATAATGAATTTTATTGAAATTGAAAAATTATAGATGAAGATTAGTTTTAAATGTTTTTTGTAGTTATATTGCAGCTAAGTTTCTTATCAGTGCTGTCAGAATATGTGAGTTATAGGGATTGTTTGCAAATAATTAATGGATTAAAAGCTCTCAAATGTATCTTACCAAATATTATTTACAGGGTTCACAGCAGTAATTTTTATTACTGGTGTAAAAATTTAGTGGTCCAACAGGGCCACCTAGATATTCATTTAGTAATCCAAAAATTTAATATGGTTGGCAAACTTGAGAAAAAAAATTGAAATTTGCAATTACATAATTTGTGTTTCAGTGCACATCAGAAAATATTAATTGCCATCTATATAGCCATAATAACTCATTAGGTTTATTTCTCATATTGATCAAAGGTTAGCATTTTTTTAAAGCTAAGTGAAAAAAAACTATAATATTAGTAAATAAATTCAACATAGAGACTAAGATGCTGAAACCAAATTAATTAATAAATGAGGAAAACTAAGAACTAACAAAATATATTAAAAATTAATTATAAAGAATTTTTAAAATTCAAATGAAAAATTATAAAATCAATTCTGACGGAGCGAAACATTATTTTGTTAATTAACAAATATATTGTCAGTGTATGAATACAAAGCACAGCACAACATGCAAATTTGAAATTTCAACATTTAATTTTAAAAATTTTTGTATCACACATTTTTAGTTACTATACTTGAATACCATGCATTTGAGTTCTATACCATGCATAAAACAATAAAATTAGTACAACATTTTTTTTTCTAATTGCATTTAAATTGATGCCAAAAACAGTTTATTGTTGCAATTTTGTATCCAAACATGATTATAGCTACATTTGAAGAGCAATTATTTATAAAATTATATCGCATTAGTTTGTTAGATGAAAAAATGGAATTCTTTCACTAAATATGTATAAATGTTTTCTTTAATGTATGTATTACTTATATTGTAATTCTTAGACTTAAATTGCCTAATTTTAAAGCAAACTTTCAATTATTTTTTTAAATAATATAGCAGAATTTTGATAAGCAAAGTACTTGGGTCATAATCTTGAAATTAAAGTTTTTTTAAATCATATATTTAAATGTTTTTCATTTTTATGATAAATTCCTTTTATGAACCATAACTTAAAATTCATGACACATTTAAAAAAATTAATTTAATAATCTGTTTGGGGGGTTCCTTCATTTGTCCCACCAATGTCAAATTTTTTAGCCTAATTGACATGTTAAAAATTATTAGCTGTGTTTGATGATGAACAATTAATCTATGGCAAATAAACTTAGCTTAAAAATTATGAAATGGAAATCGATATATGTAAAGAAAAGTTTTCAAATAAATAATAATTGCATAATGAAGATTTAACTGTATTTGCATTATATGACTATCCTAAATTCCTTAGGCGTCAATCATACATTTAAAAATAAATATTGTAATATACCAACATGTGATTTTTTAGTATTTTTACTTAATTAATTATTTTTGAGCAATGTTTTCAGTATCTTTTTGTGTAATTGTGCATTACTATATCCAAATATGTTGATAAATTGTCATCTCTGTTCCATTTCAGTATTTTTCGTTATGATTGGGTCGCATATCTGATTATAATTAATGTTTTTATTGCCAACTGTTTGGCAGTGAAACTGAGCATTTAACTTTAAAAACATATTGATTTTTCAAAGTAATCTGATCTTATCTAATAATTTATTTTATAACATTTTCTCTCATAGTTTTCTCTGTTGTATGGGTATTATTTTGAGTTGAGTTTTAAATCCTGCATAAATGCCACACTAGCATAAAATTAAATCTATTGTTCTAAATAAATAAATCAGAGTTTTAATAAATTAGCAAGCATAACATTCTAATTAATTAAATAATTAATCACATAATTTAAAAGTTTTAAATATTATTAAAAAAAGCAAATAATGTTCGTAATAGCTGAATGTGGCATGTTATGATTTACACATGTTATGATTACACAAGTTTAAAACCCTTTATAAATAGTAATTACTTAAATATTTTGTCATTTTAAGAAAACTATAGCAGAATTGTTTCATCAAATATTCTTATTACTTAGACAAAATGATTAACTGTTTAATGATATTAACTATTGTTGAATTTAAGTGTAATTTCAGCATAATTTTTTTATGAGTGTTCAAATGAAATGTTTCTTGTTTTTTTTTTTTTTCAAATATTCTTAAATATTTAATTTTATTTATCATTACTTTATTCATCAAGGTTAAGACTGGTTTAATTTTTGTTGCTGCTGCATTTTATTTCAACTCGATATTACAATTTATAATTAGTCAATAATGTTTTCTCTTGCACCAATAAGACAAAATTAATTAGATAACAATTCACTTTCTTTATTTGTTTCTTCCTTTCTTAATTTCATAAAATTTTTACAATCAGATCATTTGTTATGCTAAAATAGATTAAACAGTGGAAAAATAATTTATTTTAGCTGAATATTTTTACAGTTTTTATCTTTTATTTTACCACACTTATTGTTTAATGCAGTTTCAAGGTTTAGATTTACTTCAATTTTTAGGAATTTTTTTATTATTTTTTTAATGATAGTGCTAATGTGAGAAAAAATCTTTGTTTTAGTTGCTATATTTTTATTTGTTCTAGGACAAAGTTAAATAAAATTTATTTTTTTCTCTGCATGTTTTTATTGATGAAAAAATATTAAATGTTATAAAAAATCTCAAACAGTGTCTTATATTCTTCCTTCGACTTACTATGTAAATCCTATTGAACATTGTCAAAAAAGTTCTGCTTTCTAACACAATGTTATTTAATCCAATTTACTCAAAGGATTGATGAAACATCTGTTGTGTTTTAAAGTGACCCACTAAGATTAGTAATTTAGATTGTTGGCATCATTTTTACAAATACAAAATTGTGGCACCTTATCAATTTTTTACCCATTTTATATCTGATCATTGCATATTATCTACAATAATAAATATTATGCACCTAAACCTATTATATGAATAAAATTTGTATTAATTATACAGATATCAATTCACTGACTGGTGATTGAGAAACAATTGTCCAACAGGTTATTCAACATATACTTTTTCAATATCTTATCAAATGTTATAAATATTAATAGTTTTTTTTTTTGTAACATACATCTTTCAAAATAAACAAAGTAAACTCCCAACAGCCTGTTGTTGGTCAAGGTGGATGCGGAAGTTATTCCATAATTTTGGGACTAACCCAATGATTACAGTAACTATTGATTTGAAGCTGACAAGTCACCCAACAAAGACAGACTCTTTCTGTGTTAGCTTAATTGTTAGAATCTTCAGTGATAGCTGTAGTTCTTTACAGTGATAGTTCAGTACCTTAACCTCTGTGGCTTAACAGAACAAAATAAACTTGAATCTCGTTTTATTGAGTCAGAACTTAGCAGTTTTTTCAATGTGTATTACATTAATTCCGATACTTTAAGTATCTTATAAAGTATGTCCCAAATAAAATTCAAACCAAGAAAAGTAAAACATGAGCAAAGGAAAGAAGGAGTGTTTATTGAACAAAAACTACAATAAATTTTAAATTCTCGTAATCTGCCAAGCGACAAATTAAGCACATATAACAAGATTATCATAGTATCAACATTTATGGGCAAAAATTTTTTATCTCTTGTTCAATTTTCGTTTTTAGTTAGGCGTTAAATGTCAAGCAATCTGGGGAACTCACAGGCCAGAAATCTCTTTAGGGAAAGATATGATTGACTCAGATGTATGAACAGTCGCACTATCATGGTGAAAGCATCTGAGCATATAAATATTGCACAGGCAAATGCTCTTCCTCGGAAGGTATACTCTCCTTTTTTTCGGAAGTTGTGTTTTGTTTGGGACTTAATGTATTTAACATTATGGACTATGTTACTCTGATCATAAGTTAAATCGAACAATATTGCCAAGTACTTTTTTTTATGTAAATTGTTCATTTTGACTATAAATTAGTAAAATCCTCTATAATTGTATCTCTAAAGTATTAATGTCTAGACTGTTTGCTCATTTATTTAGACTTTATTTTGTATTTTTTGTTATTGTTTGTTTTATTTTTGCTAACTGTACATTTGTAAACTATGTATGAATTTTAAAAATTGAAAATATACTTATATCAGAATTCGTTATTTTATGTTGTTTTTTGTTATTTTCCATGCGCAACATTATGTATGTTTTCAGCATGTAAGAAAAGTTTATTGTAATATTCTTCATTCTTTCATAAAAGCTGTTTTTTGAAGGCTTTTCCGTCATGTTAAATAATACATTTTTAGCAAATAATATGCTATTTTTAACTGAGCTGTAGCATCAGTAGTTGAAATGCCAAACTCCTAACTTTCCTGAGAGTTCGACTCTAACTTATACTCTATTTAAATTTCCACCAAATTCTAGAAAAATATTAGTATTATTAGTTAAACTAAACTCAGTTGCATGACAGCCCATGAAGAGCAAAGGTATTCTGTGCTCATCCCATGAACTTGGGCTCTGAGGTGCAGAAGCAGATGTTCCGTTTAGGTGGTCAGTCAATTGCGGTACCTCCAACGTTTTTAACCCAAGCATGCTTGGTACTCATTTTTTCAACTCAAAGAAGAGCTGAGTCAATTTTGCTCAGCCCAAGAATAGAACCAGAGACCTGTGGCATGTGAATGGGAAGCGCTACCATTCTGTCACGAGGTGTCTTATATTATTTGTTAGTGAGTGTTAATTTCAAAATATGTATATTCCATTTTTTTTAATATGAGATTAGTTTAAAACGATTATTTGATTTTATTTAGCATCAATTAAGACTTAATGCAAAATGTATTTGCACAAAATATTGAAATTGTGCAATAAGAAAATATTTTAATTCCTCGCACATATATAAACATCGTACGACAAGAAGATTTTATAGTGACTGTACATGAACTAGAAAACTATTGTAAATGATACTTAAAATTCATTTGCACATCTATTTCATTGAATTTTCGCCTTTACTAAACAAATTTGTTCTTGTAACTTCTGAATCAAAAAATAGTTTATTGATAAATAACTTATTAGTGTCAAATTCTTAATAGTTAATGAAACATAACTCAAAAATGCTTGTATGGAATGAATTAAGTTTGTAACAAGTTACAATTTGACATTATGTTCATATCTGTTCACCTAATTACAAATATTTGTTCTTAAGATCAAATTTCTTTTAACAAATGGGATCCAATTCATTCCATTAATCTTTTCATACTCGTCTGATTCAAGAAAATTTGCCGCCTCAATTTTTACAATTGTGAGTTTGTAACAGTTATTTATAAATATTGTTTTGTGAAGCTTAGTCTTTTAACATCCTCTATGCTGAATATGAAATAATCTCGAAATATATTGAGGAAAAGAGTACCGTTTTTTTTATGAAAAGCATTTAAGATCTAATTTTTTAGTATTAAATTACAATTTTATATTCATCACATTAGGATAATCAATTGCTGTGATGTTTAGGTTTATCAAAATATGCAAAATAAGACTTCCCCCCCCCCCGGTTGTAAAAAAAATATTCCTTTTTATCTTTGTTTTTTTTTTTTTTTAAAGAGCTGTAATATAATATGTATATAGAAAGCAGTCATTTATTGTAAATATTCTTAATGTGCCTGATATGTTTATTCTTAAAATATGAATTTTTTTTAATGGTTTACCAGTCTTGGCGTTTTCATTACATAGCAATTTATTTAGGTATAATTGTGTATAAGATACATAATTTAAACACAATTTTAAAAAATGCTTTGAGATATTTATGCTTAAATTTTCATGTAAAGTATCATCTCGATTAGTATAGAATAAGCCTAGTCTAGATATTCTAGTCCAGGTCTAGGTGTGGACCTGGTCTTGAGTATTCAAGTAACAGGATGGTAATCAAAAAGTTTAATTCAATTATCCAGGACCAGCCAGAAAAAATGCAAATGCAGAAAAATAAGATGATTCACAAAATATTTTATTCATTTATCTTTAATAGTTAGAACTAGATTCATCTCAGATAATCCAAAACACTGAAATTATCCAAATTAGTTTAAGACCTGTCAGAAAAATATGATGGTCCAGCAAAAAATCAATCCAATTTTCTTTTCTTTAAAAACTTCACTCTTATTTTATTCAGATTAGGTAAGACTAACCAGAAAAATCCGATCTCTAAAAAATAGATGACTCTCCAAAAACAAATCACTCCAATTATTTAGGTTAATTAGAACTAACCAGAAAAAAAAATAAAATGATTCACCAAAAAATCACTCCAATTTTACATATTAGAATCATTACCAGAAATTGAATTTTTTAAAACAAGCCTTGAAGAAAATTCTATACTATGTCACATCATGCATAATTTGCAAAAAGCTATTATAATAATCGAATTTTGATGTTCTCTCAAAATAATTAGAAATGAAAACTATCTTGTATTGTACATTATGTATTGTTAAAAGGAGGTGTAATTAACATTACTTAACAATTAGATTCATTTTATTATTACTTATTTTACTTACGTAGTTTCATTTCAAATGCATTGGTTGAGGTAGTAATGATGAGACTTATAATTTTATACATTTCAAATTAATACTTAGGATGCATGCTTTTAGTGTTTATAAATTAATATTTCATTCAATTCTGAAATGCCTTTCTCAATTTGTTGCAAAATCATTGATTCATTTGTAATAAATACAGTTATTTTTGATAAAATTATTAGTAATGAATCATTTTTCATTTTTGTGTATAATTGTGAACAATCAGAATCATTGTTTGTGCACTCCATGACTTAAAAATAAAAGCTGTTGTCATAATTAACCGCCACTGTGAACTTATTAAAAAAAATAACCTACTCATTTACATTTTCTTGGATCATCTTATTTAAGATTTTCTACATTAGGTTCTGTCCACGAATGAAATTGGTAGGCTGGACTTCAAAAGCTTTTTATTTGAACTTGGCTTAGTGTTCTACCTTTTTTTTAAAATTCGTTTCTCTATATGAAGTATGAGGTCTTACATGGAAAAACGACATCGCAGATTGTGCAGAACATTTCATTTCAAACACCTCAAAACATTAATAATGTTATTGATTCTGTACCCTGTTGCAAGTTAAGAAAAAAAGCATTATCGCTACGGAGACAACCTGTTTCGATCTAAGTGAACGCCAAATAGATGCCAAGCACAACAACATCGCCAACTCTCATTCAGAGAAACTAATGAAAAAATAATTTTTTTTAACAGACGATTTTGTTCTACAGCAAAAGAAAATTAAAAATTCCTTATCTCGCATTTGATTTTTAAAGAACATGTCAGCATAAGACTCGTCATCTATCGTGGTCCAATCAAATCCAATGCTCTTGCAACGTCATACAGTTGTTGCTTTTTCAAAAGCGAACAGTGGCCTATTTATCGAAATATGCCGCCAAGTCTAGGATTCCAGTAAGACTACGAAACTATTACTATATTTTAATAACTAACTTTAACCTTTTTTTTTATAATTATATGATATATATCGGAAAGATTGGCTGAATTAAATTTCTGGCTGACGGGATAATGTTTTAAAACCTTATTTGTATAATTTATTAACGATTCTGATAATAACGCAGCTGATTACTTAAATTTTCCTAACTTGCAACCGAGTATAGCGTGGTTTAAACAAGGATCAATCGCCAAAAAAAAAAAAAATCAAATCGTAATATTCACTGAAAAAAAGATGGTGGAAATTGTTTGGTGATCTAGCGCAGGTGTGATCGATTAAGTTTTTTGGCATCCCGGCTCATGTACAACAACCATTTAGACAAAGTTATGCAAAGAGTTTAAGAAAAATAGCCTAGAATGGTCAACAGATCGACTCCCATCTACGCTAAACTACACTATCTTATGCATAATGATTGTAGAAATGACAGCTGCAAAATTACAATACTTGAAACTTCGTCATCCTTCATAGTCACCAGATTCACTTACCGAATACCACTTTTTCTTTAACTGGGATAAAATTTGAGCGAAATCGGTCGAATAATTCCTGAGAAATCGAATTTTATGTATGTTTTTTTTGTGAACCATTTGACCAATTTCTGTATTTTGCCATGTAAAATTACACTCTTTAAGATAGTGTAAAAAATTTTATACCTTATAATTCACAAAATTTTCGACTATTCTTTATTAAAATAATAACAAAAAATAGATATTTATTAAAAATTATTTTTTGTAATCTTTGAATAAATCAGTGTAAACATTTTTTAATTCGCTTAAAAAATTCTCGATATATAGTGAAATATGCAAAAAGTAAAATTAGCATTAAAGTATCTTATCTTTGGAGCTCTCTCTTGACTATGCTATTGGGACCATATTTTCAAGACTGAGACTACCCCCCTATATTATGGGGGTCAGAAATCCAAATCCATCGGGAAAAAAAGAATGTTTTTAGAGATAAAAGTATGTTTTTGTGTCTGAATTCGTAACTTAAAATATCGTCTGCTCTTATTAATTGGCATATTTGAGTTCACCCCCTTGAGCCATTAAGATTGAGTCCTAGAACGTGAAAATTCGATCAAACATTATTCAGGGTGGTCGTTTTTTTTTTTTTTTTTTTTGGCGCGCTATACTTTCACTTGCCGGCATCTTTCAAAAATGATTAAAAATACTTTCGTAATAAGTTTGCCAGTTTACAATATATGTAAATAGAGAATCGAGGGATGCATTTTATTTCACGTTCTTACTGAAGAATAAAAGCGCATTTGATTTGTTAGTTACCTTGAATTGTCCCGAAAGTGGATGTGCGCAACGTAATAATATACTAAATAATTCAATCTTTATGATTAATAAATTTTAATAAGAAAATTTGAATTTTTATGATTTTTAGAATAATTATTAACTATTATTGAAAAAAATTCTTTATTAAATATTAGAAGGTTTTAACCACGTAATTTTGCCCGAATTTGATTTGCACCTGGTTAAAAATATAAATTTAGTTAACAAGGAATTTTTTTAGTAAATTTATTAATGATTTCAACATACTGAATGACTTTATATGGAATTTAATTCCATTGCAATATATATGTATATATATACTTACTTACTAAAAAATACTGTTTATTACACTGGACAGTTAATATTGAAATTATTTTATAAAGGGTATAATTTATTTAGAAGTTTACTTGATAAATTAATTGATCCAGTATAAAAGGTCATACGTCCTAAGTATTCCGTCCAGTAACTTTAGGAATAGCTTATCCTTATTGGTTCCTACCTTGAAAATTAAATCAGGACTAATTCTACTATCAGAAGAAAAAAAATTAGTGTTCTAAGTGGTTTAAAAAATTTTTTTAAGTGAAATTGAAGGATAGAATAAGGAAAATGGTTATTTATTAAATCTGTTTTAAATTTATCAGTCTCTTTTTAAAACTCTTTATAACTGGAATTATTCCTGTAAAATCTAAGAATCTGTTAGGTAATAATATTGGAAAAAACTTTTTCGGCTAAGTTAAATTTAAAATCAATACTTCTTTTAATTGGAAAGTTAGAATCTTTTCTTATGTCAAAAAGTTTAAATGTAATTTTCCTATCTTCATTAATTTTAAGAATTAAATCGGGAAAAATTTCAAATATTATAGTTTGGTTAAGAATTAATTCACTTGAATAAATTTTCTTAGCTAAACTGTCAAAATTAATAACTAAAAGATCAATAATAAATCTGAGAAAGAAGAAATTTTTATTAATATTAACAAATGATTTAATGAATTCTTGGAGAAAAAGAAAAATATTGCAAACATAAGTACCAAAATTATTTCCTATGGGGATACCATTAATTTGTTGAAAAAGACAGTTATTAAATAGAATATATATGTTGTTTAGGTTAATGTGAATGAAAAATTTCCAATTCTCTTTATCAATAATGTCATCAAGATTAAATAGGCTATAAATTTGAAGAAGGACATCAAGAATTTTATTTGTTGGAAAGGGAGCATATAAGTTAAAACAGCATAGAGAATCATTATTTAGAATTTTTAAAACCTCTATACTATTTTTAATATTCCAATTGAGGTGATTATTACTTTTAGTGTGCTTATTAATTTCAGTGTTTACTTTTTTAAGAATATTTTTAAGCTAAATACCGATTTTTTTCACGTCACTATTAACGGGACTATTATTACTATTATGTTGTGGAATTTTAGATTAGCAAAAGAATGATCTTTTATTTGAAAATTTTCCCTATAGAAAGTTGAGTATATTTCTCTAATCCATTTGCTACAATAAAAGTATAATACAGTCCCTTATTATTAGATGCAACTATAAGATTCTGTGTAAAATTTTAATTATCAGGTGTTTAATTATCAGGTTTTAATTATCATTGTTTTTACGCCACTGAAACCGGTTTACACTTGCTTACGCTCGTGTATCAATTGGTTAACATTGTCACGCAATCCGTTAAAAATAAATACAAATAGGGTGCATATTAAAAATCTCCTGAATAAAAACCCATTACGTGTATGTTTAAATATAAAAATATTGCATATAAACTCGTGCAAAACATGTCATAATTAAAAAACTACAGTGCTTCTAATAATTTGATCTAATTATTATAATATATTGATTAGATACCTGATATAATATATATTCTATATTTATATAATATATCTTCTAGTTTATCCAATCCTCAAATTTATATTATATATCGTCTAATTTAACCAATTGATACACAAACGTAAACATGTGCAAACCGGTTTCAGTCACGTAAAAACTGTAAAGCAGTATAGTAGCACCTTACAATTAAGATTTTACATAAAATCTTATAGTGCGTCTAATAAAAATTAAAGTATAAATTATTATAATTATGAATTATTATAGTTATAAATTATTACTATAAATTATTTTAATTATAAATTATTACTATAAATTATTTTAATTATAAATTATTTGAATTATAAACTATTTAATTATAAATTATTTTAATTATAAATTATTAATAATAAATTGGATGCTCAGAAAGAAGTGCGACAACACTTGTCCTAAAGCAATAAAGATATGAGGAAGTGGCAAAGGTCAGCATTGGGACCACCCCTGCGGATTATGAGTAAGATATGTAGTATAGAGAGGTAGCAGTTCCCACCAAGGATATGTTAAAACTTCCTTGAAATTGAGACATTTTTTTTCTTCAGATTCCTGCCAACAAAATTATCTATTTTTTAAGTGTAAATTTGATTACAAAAAAAAAACAATATTTACTGAGAAATTGTCAGTTTTTTTTTAATCTCAGAAGAAACATAGGAGGCTAAAGCTTCTTCTGGCCCGTGGTCATGATTTATCTTGAATAAAAATAAAAAAATTAATAAAAGCATAACCTTCGTAACTTTACCACCTGTCTATCTTGTATGTTGACCATTAAAATTTGTCTAGGAGTGTAGTTTAATGCCATTCTAATACCTTAATAAGTTTAACAGAAAATAAAAACTTTTAAACAAATTTTCTACGCTATTTGAATTAGAATTTCTAAGAATTTATAAAATAATATTAAGTGCTAACCTTAACCACTTTGCTAGTTGGTCATTTGATAAAGCATTGGAGAGGTTTTGTAACATGGAGTTTCTTTGTATATATGTTATAATCAATGTAATAAATCGCTAAATATTAATAATCACTGTTTATTATTCATAATAATAGGGGGGTTATTATTAGTGTTAGCCAGTAATTACTTATAATAACTGGTAAGTATTATAAATAATTGCTAGATTCATAACTTTAACCGTAACAAAGATAACAAAATTAATTTTGAAATAATGATAATAAAGTTAGATTTCGAATCATTTTTGGAAAAAACA